AGACTAACACATTCTTGAAGGAACAGGATATTTCTAGAAAACGTGGCGTGACACTAGTCACGTGACCTCGCTGACGCAAGAATACTTTTGTTGCTAAGCAAAATCACATAAAATCCATTGTTTGAGCGCATTGTTACCAAAATGCACTGGCCTTTCTATATATTAGAAGTTATTACATAAGGAACCACTTCTTTCCTATGTGTTTTTTTTTGCTACGTTGCCTAATCAAAAAGATGCGCGCACGTGATAAGATAAGGAGTAGCCAGTTGCATACCCTCAGGTCTACTTAATATGGATGTAAAATTCCAGGTTTCTTCTTGGAACTATTGCAGTCACAGCTCTTTTCTATGTGTTTCTTTTGCTAGCTTGCCTCATAAGTAGATGCGCACTCACACACACACACATGGATAAGTAATAATACTCAGTTGCACACCTCCAGGTTCCACTTAGTATGGCGCATGAGCGCGCGCGCACACACGTGCGTGTCTGTCTGTTTGGCTGTTATTTCTATTTGTAATGTAAGGAACTACTTCTTTTCTATGTGGTGTTTCACAAGTTTGCCTCATTTAAAAGATACACATGCAAGAACGCACATGGATAAGATAAATAATAATACCCAAGTGCACATCCTCAGGGTCCACTTAGTATGGGTGCAAAATTTCAAGTTTCTAGGTTCTTTCTTCTTGGAGCTATGGCAGTTACACACAGAGACTAACAGACATGCCCCTTTATTATTATACAAAAGTACTGTTACGTATCTGGTCGTTTGTTAATTTCCGGTATAAATTCTCCCCGAGGAACTTCAGCAATACAAGTCCTTCCTTTAAATAAAACTAGTTTATTCTTTCTCAATACACCTTTGCAATACACGGAATTTCCACAGTTACTTTAACTTAAACACACGCTATAATTCACAACGATTCACGCACGCACTTTACTTACGGTCACTACCGCTCACTTATCTGTCTCTATATCTCTCTTCAATCTGCTATCGTCTCCGTTTTATTTGCCGGGCTTATATATTAAAATGGAGGGCTCCTTGAAAATACTAGAGTTACCAAGAAAAGTCATGATCCTTCTAGAAACTCATGACGTATTACCAGCGTCACGTGACTTTCGCTGTCGTAACAGTACCCAGCTTTCTTGAGTTATTAGTTTGATAGTGTGTGTATTCTGAAACCATTTAGCAAAAAAGTATTACCTATATAATTTTGTTGCTAAGAAACATAACATAAAAACCATTGTTGGAATTCATTGTTACCACAATGCACTGGCTTTTCTATATTTTAGAAATTGTTATTTCGAGAACCACTTCATTTCTATGTGGTTTTTCACTAGCTTGCGGATAAGATAAGTAATACCCAGTTGCACACCTTCAAGGTCCACTTAGTATGGGTGCTAGATTTTATTTTTATAGGTTATTTTCTCTTGGAGCTATGGAGGTCACACATACACAGACAATAATATAAAACTGTCTCTATAACCCGAGCGCTTTCTAACGGTGGACCTTTCTTATTCAGGGGCAAAGAAGAAGAAAGGTCCACCTTTCTAAAGCGCTCGGGTTATAGGGTCTTTATTCATTTCTATCATGACTTCTTGAATATACATGTTTTCCTAACATCATGAATATAAAATTAACCTTTAGTCTCTACAAAGCCACCTGTCTTAGTTCTGTTTTAGTGGAATAGTATTTTGTAAAATACAGTCATATTTCAATTATTATATATTATATATGTATATAGATTATTACTTTTTACAAATAACTTCTTAAACTTATTTTTCTTAAAACATAGAACAGTAAACAAAGAAGTAAAGCGAAGAATTATCTCTTCTAGTTCCGACCTTGGTAGTCAGTTGCTGCTGGAAGATGTGAAACGATTTTTTTTTTTTAGGTTTTATATATATATATATTTGAATAACCAAAAAATCATAAATTACTATATTGATACAATAGAATTCCATTATAATTTATTAAGCTAAAGATCTAAGCTGTATTTCAGTCTAAAAGCCTCCCAGTGGCACAGCGGTATGTCTGCGGACTTACAACGCTAGAAACCGGGTTTCGATACCCGTGTTGGGCAGAGCGCAGATAGCCCATTGTGTAGCTTTGTGCTTAACTTCAAAGAAACAAACGGTCTAAAAATATGGAATTTCGAGCAGACTAAAGACACAACCTACCTCCTCGAAATCTTGGTTCGTAAGAACGAGATGGCGTCCTAAAACTTTAAAATGGCTGAAAAAGCCACTAGGGAGACAATCTGAGCTATCGATTGGTTATTCACATGTCATATATAGAATTTATTACATGAGCAATATCCCAGCAAATAGAAAAGATAAGATATTCTGATTTTATATTCTAGCTTGTCAATATCGGTAAATTTAATTTCTAATTCGTACGAAAATAAAAACTTAGTTTTGACATCACAAACATCTGCATTCAACATACCATGTGACACACACAAATTGATGCTTAACTCTGTTTTATATATACATTTAAATTAAGAAATTGAATAAAGTATGATACCAAAATTCGAATTGTAATCTACAGTTTGATACCAAAGTTGTTGACATAAATTCATGAAATAGTAGTTCAATAAAATTTGAATGTGAGTCAACAAACGCAATGACATGGCCTTTAAGCCGTGACCCGTGTGGAAAGGGATAATCTCAAATAATAAATCTGACGTACAATATTATTCATATGCCTAGATTACTTAAGATCATTAAGCCGTG